AATAAGAAGCTAAAGCCACTTCAGCCTGAGTTCAATCCCAACCCTGGAGGTGATCCACATGGCGTGGCAGACCTCTCCTGATCAGCTCGCTGCTCCCATCAGCACTGTACTTCATCAGTGGGCCTCTTCTGCTCCCCACTCTGTCTCTGGTGAATCCTTTCACCACCCCTGCACCTCTGGCTTGTACCCCAGCTATGTATGCATAAATAAATAAAAATATTAAAAACAAGAAAAAGCTAAGAGATAATCTGTTAAACATCTATAGGTCACACTGCCCCTCAACTTGTTTCACAATTTATACAAAATTTAACTCAAAATGAGTGATATGGTTAAATGAAAAATATATATTTTAAAATACATAAACAGGGCTCTCCCTGGTGGCCCAGCGGGTTAAAGCACAGCACTAAGAAGCTTAAGCCACTTCCACATGTTCGATTCCCGCCTGCCCCGGAGGGCGAGGCGGACCTCTCCTGACCCGCCCGCTGCTCCCCTCAGCAGTGTACTTCATCGATCTGCCTGTTCTGCTCCCCACTCTGTCCCTGGTGAATCTTCTCACCCTCCGCATCTCTGGCCTGTACCCCAGTTCTATATGAATAAATAAATCTTAAAAAAAAATACATAAACATATAAACATGAATGTATAAAATCACATAGAAAATAACCATTTATAACTTTTAGGACTACCTTTATAATCCATACTTAGGCAAACCGTTCTCAGACTTGATGTCAAAGACCTAAGTCCTTACTAGGAAAAATTTATCAAATGGATTTTATTTAAATTAAAAACTTCTGCTCTGCAAGTCTGTTAAGATGATACAATAAAAGAGCAAAAACATCGGCAAACCACTATCATAAAGAACAAGGTTTTAAAAGTCCTTCAAAATTTAGTAAAAACAAAAATCCAATTAGAATCTGGACAAAAGGATGAATAGACATTTTACCAAAGAGAATATGGGTGTCAAATAAGTCCAGAGATTGAACATCACTAGCCATTAGGGAAATGCAGTTAAAACCTAAAGACAGCAACAACAAATGTTGGCAAGGATGTGGACTGCATTGCTGTGGGAGTGCAAGCTGATACAACCACTATGGAAAACTGTTTGGAGGTTTCTCAAACTGCTAAAAATGGAGCTTCTAAATGACCCAGCAATCCTACTCCTAGGTATCTACCCAAAAGACACAAAACACTTATTCAAAAAGACACTTGCACCCCCATGTTTACTGCTGTTTTATTTACAATTGGAAAGACATGGAATCAACCCAAATGCCCAAAAGCAGATGACTGGATTAAAAACATGTGGTACATGGCCCTCCCTGGTGGCACAGCGGGTTAAAGCACAGCACTAAGAAGCTTAAGCCACTTCCACATGAGTTCTATCCCTGCCTGCCCTGGAGGAGATCCCCGCATGGAGAGGCAGACCTCTCCTGACCAGCCCGCTGCTCCCCTCAGCAGTGTACTTCATTGATCTGCCTGTTCTTCTCCCTACTCTGTCTCCGGTGAATCTTCTCACCCTCCACATCTCTGGCCTGTACCCCAGTTCTGTATGAATAATAAATAAATCTTTAAATAAATAAAAAAAAAAAAGATGTGGTACACAATAGAAAAAGATAAACACATGCCTTTTGCAGCAACATGGATGGAGCTGGGAGGGATCATGCTTAGTGAAATAAGCCAGAAAAAAAAGGATGGTTTCACTCATAGCAGGAGTATAAGGACCATGGTAGAAAATAACAATAAACAACAACTATATACCAGAGACATTTTACAAGAGTGGAGTGGAGAATGGGATTAAAAATGGGAAAAGGGGGGGGGTAGTGCACTGCACTATGGTGATGGCACTCAGGTGAACTGGTGGTGGGAAGCCCATGGGGATTATAACTGAGATGGAAAAAGGCACATAATGATGTAAAAATAAATACTCTATTATTTAAAAACAAACAAAGAAACAAAACCCCCAAGATATAGCTACATTCAAAATGCAAAAAAAGAAACAATACCAAATGAATTTGAAGAAACTGATCTCTCATTCATTGCTGGTAAGGATGGCAAATGGAAACTCTGGTAGACAGTCTGTAAGTTTCATTACCAGGTGACCAAGCAAATGTATTCCTTGGCATTTACCCCAGAGAAGTGAAGACAGGTTTACCTTATATTACACCAGCAGCTTTAGTCATAATAGTCCCAAAATCTCCATGTCCTCAGACATTCAGACCAGGGAGTGCTGCTCAGTCAAAAAAAGGAATAAACTAATAATTACAAGAACCTAGGTAAATGTCCAGAGACTTTTCCTGAGTGAAGGGAAAAAGAAAAAGCTCCAGGGCCTTCCTGGTGGGAAACAGTTATAACACAGCACTATAAAGCCACCCACCACTGCCACACAGCTCCCCTGGCCTCTATACCGCAGTTCTTGTAGCATAAATAATTCTTTTGGAGCTCCCTGGTGGCGCAAAGGGTTAAACGGGTTAGGATGCAGCACCGCAAGGGAGCCACATCAGCTTCAGTGTGAAGTTTGATCCCCAGCCCAGAGGTGATCCACATGGCGATCCACGATCCACAAGGCTTGGCAGACCTCTCCTGACCTGCCCACTGCTGCCCTCAGCAGTGTGCTTCATCAATCTGCCTGTTCTGCTCCCCACTCTGTCTCTGGTGAATCCTCTCACTGCCCCTGCACCTCTGGCTTGTACCCCAGTTCTGTATGCTTAAATAAATCTTTAAAAAAATTTTTTTAAAAAAACCTTCCAAATAGTGATGCAATTACATAACAGTCTTGAAATGACAAAATTATAAAAGTGAAAAACATTACTGGCTGTTGGGTTCAGGAGGAGGTAGAGTGGAAATGAAGTGGGCATGGCTATGAAAGGGCTACCTGATGGATTTATGCTCTGAGGTAAAGTTAACTATCTTCACAGTACCAGCCTGCCTCATTATCTGGTTCTACAAGAAGTTATAGTTGAAGGATCTCCATCCAGAAATATCTCAAGGCTTCATTAAAGAATACAGGTTTAGTTATGTCAGCTTTTTTTTTTTTTTATAGATCTTTGATATCAGTCCCTTCTCCACTGTATAATGGGAAAACAAACTGGTCTAGCCATTATGGAAAGCTGTGTGGAAGTCCCTCAGAAAACTAAAAATGGGTCTGCCATATGATTCATCGATTCCACTCCTACACAAAGAACATAAAAACACTAATTCAAAAGGAAACTGCACTCCCATGTTTATTGAACACTGTTTACAGGCTATGGAAACAATCTAAATGTCCCAAAACAGATGAATGGGTCAAAAGGTTGTGATGTATTTATACAATGGTACATTATTCGACTATCCAAGGAGACAAACTCATGCTTTTAGTGATGACACTGAAAGAGATTATGCTAGATGAAATAAGTATAAGGACAAAGATAAATATCGGATTTTTTTACTATGTGCAGAGTATAGATATCAGATAAAAGATTAAGACAAAACTAGCAAGTTGACCATAGATTTAAAGCTCATAGCAAGGAAGGTAGAGAGCACAGGGGTGGAGGGTGGTGTCAGACCTGGAAAGTGCACAAAGTAGCATGTTGATGGAGATGGTTCACTGGAGAACTACCAGACTACACCTGAGAGAAAAAAAAAACATTTACTGTGCAAAAATAAAGATGTAAGGAAATTAAAAAAGATAATGTTACAACATCTGACAAGAAATCAAAATCAATTTGATTTTCTTATGCCCAATTTTGAAGATGACTGTGAATCAGAGTTTTAAAAAGCACATTTTCTCATCAATACATACACAGAAAAACAGCAGTAGTAACAAGATAGTTCAAAGGAAACAAATGAGACATCTCTAAAGGACATGATGGAGTGGAAAGCCACCCAGGATAAATAATCGCAGAAAAATCCTTATCTAGGTGCTATTGAAATTTTGGCTGTGTAACTCATCGCCTATCCTCTCCCACTATAATCTGAACTGTTCCTATAACTAAATATCTTAATTTAGGAGATTCCTTGTATAGTAGTACTCAAACGTTTTTTGGTTTCCATCCCCCAAGGAGCTTTGTCTGCATTAAAGTACTAGAAGTAAAAACTGATAATTTTTTTAAAAGTACACAAAGGGACATGTTTCACTAGCACTTCTATAAAACGTGAGGCCATTAAAAAATAAGGGTTTAGTTATTTTTCCAAGCAGTCTTTGGAAAAATCGATGTACACCCCTAAGAGATTAGAAAAGGCAATTAAGAGCTGTAACCTCAGTGTGAGAGCCACTATTACATGAGATAAATACACAAAAGTGATTTTAAAAGTATAAAACACAGGACAAATTAGTCACAAATATTCTTATAAGTACATGAGTGCCATGGCAAAAAGAAAAAAAAATTAAAACAGTTCAAGACCTAACGGAGGATAACTAGAAGCCTCAAGTTGGGTAAAAAAGAGCTTCTATAAGCAAAGTAAGTTGGGCTCCATTAAAGGGTCGGAGAAGTATATACAACTGTAAAAAGAAAATCACAGCCATTATATGAATCTGCTTTGCGTATTCAAAACCGTTATTAAAAAAACAGAACTAAAATCAAGTCCGCATTCAAAACCGTTATTAAAAAAACAGAACTAAAATCAAATCCGCAAATCAACTTTTGGAGACCTGGCAGCCTCGCAAAAACTTTGGATCGCTGCAGCACCCCAAGCTCAAAGGGCTGTTTGTGTGATAAGGAGTGGAGGGAGGAGGGTCTCTGCGTTAAGGTGCAGGCTGCGCCGCCACTAGCCCCTCAACGCGGCAGGAACTAGGACCCCCTCTTCCTGCCGGAGTACGGCCAGCGGACCGCGGGGTCGCCAAGAGGCCGGCTAGAAGAGTCAGAAAGGGCGCTTTGCCTGCGCCAGGCCTCGCCAGCGCCAGCCAAGGAGTTTACGCAGGAATTCCAGGAGAGGCGGGGGCGCGGGTTCCGGGACTCGGCCAGTGGGGAGGGGTTTGGGAGCAGAGGTAGCGAGAGGTGGAGGAGTGGTCGAGGCGGCCGAAACTCACCAAGTGTCGCCCCACGTCGGAGGACATCATATTCCCGAGTGGGAGGACAGAGATGGTAGGCAGAGGGCCAGCGGAGCGACGGTATCAGCAGCCCAGCCACAGCCGGGAGCCTGGGCGGGACCCGCAGAGCAACCGGCTGGAACCTCCCCTGGGGGGCGGGGCCTGGGAAGGGGCGGTTTCGGCCTAGGGTACTTAGTGAGGGCGGGACGGGGCCTCGTCGGGGGAAAAGCGCCGTTAGCCACGCGAAGGGTCGCGCTGCGGTTGAGACAGCGTGCCGCTTGCCATTTCTGAGGTCTACTCCGGGCGGCGAGAGGAGACTAAATGCCTGAGGAGAACGCGAGGGAACCAGGCCTTAATCGATCAGTCAGCGGTGGGCCGGAAATGGGTGTGGTGGGGCTTGCCGGCTGACGGGAGCGGTGTTGCTAGTGGCAGGGATACCGGAAGTGGGCGGAGCTATGGGAGGCGGGGCCGCCTGGGCGCGGCACGGTGAGGTAGTGGTGCAGCTCGGTGGGTGGCTAGTGTCAACGGCCTCTCTGGACTTAAGGGTGAGCAGGAACTGGCGTCGTCGCGGCCTCCAGGGCGCGAAGCTGACCTGCCGGCCGCTGAGGACCTGGACGGCCCCGGATGAGGATGGAGGAGCCCCCGGAGTTGGAGCCCCAGGCAGTTCAGCGCTTTCTTGCCGATCGCGGAGGCCGAGCCCTGCACGCGGACCTGGTAGGGCACTTCAGGAGTTTTCTGGGCGGCGAGCCAGAGCTGCGCGCCCGCGCGCGCGCCCGCTTCAAAGAGATGGTAAACGCCGTGGCCACTGTGCGTACCGACCCGGCCGATGGCACCAAGTACGTGCACCTCAAAAGAAAGTTTTGCGAGGGCTTCCAGCCGGCTGAGGTCGGGCCCCATCAGGTCCCACCTTGCGTCCCTGGGGCCACGGACCGCGAGCCCACCGCGGGAACCCCAATCAACCCGGCAGAGCCCTGGGAGAGCGGCCTGGGTCCCGAGGAGACTCCGGGTCCTGTTGATAGGCCAGGCGCGCAGCAGCGGGGGCCTCCACATCCTATCGACTATGGGCGGAACCGGCGGCCTGTGGCGAGTGGCAAGCCTTGGAATGAGAATTCCGGGTGCAACCTGCATCCTCCGGTGCGGGACCAGGCCCCAGGAAGCGGAGGATACCTGGAGCCCCACGTTTGCGAGACGGAGACAGGCGGCTTTTCCCGAGAGGTCGCCACCCAGAAAAACCCCAGCCAGAACTCCCACGACCTGGCTCCGGGTAGCTCCCCCCAGCTTAAGAAGAGCACCTTTTTGGGAGGCAGCAACCCTGAGGCCGTCTCCTGGGATGGACACAGCAGAAGTGGGGATGATTCCGAGGACTTATCAGTCGCCTCCTTGTCGTTGGTGGAGGAGGAAAGCGGCGGTGGGGCCTCCGTGGCCCTGGACCCACTGGAGCATGCCTGGATGATCTCGGCTGCGGAAGGCCAGTGGGACAGCCTGGAGGGATTGCTGAGCAGCGATCCCGGCCTCTTAGCCAAGCGGGACTTCATCACTGGTTTCACTTGTCTGCACTGGGCCGCCAAACACGGCAGACAGGAAGTCCTGGCCTTATTGGTGAACTTCGCCAACAATCACCAAATGCCCGTGAACATCAATGCCAGAACAAGCGGAGGCTACACAGCCCTGCACTTGGCGGCCATGCATGGGCACGCAGAGGTGGTGAAGCTTCTAGTGGGGGCCTACGATGCAGATGTGGACGCACGGGATTACAGCGGGAGAAAGGCGGGGCAGTACTTGAGTCAGAGCACCGCTGAGGAGATCAAGAATTTGGTGGGAGGCCTGGACCTGGACCACAGAGTGAGCACCGCGGGTGGTGGTGGTGGACGTTGGAAGCTTTCAAAGGTGCTCCCCTCACACCTCATCACCTATAGACTCTCCCACATACCGGAGGATGGAGGCGATCTCCACCCTTACTTGGCTGAGGGATTGGCTGGAGGCAAAGTAAAGGATCCAGGCCGCAAAGCCTCTGGCAGTTCTATTGGAAGAATCAAACCCAGACTCAACAAAATCCGCTTTCGAACACAAATCGTCCACACCACACCCTCATTCAGAGACCTAGATGAGCCTGTGGAGGAGGGTGAGGAGGAAGACGATGATGACCACTCTCTTAAAGGCCACTCTTCCTCATTCAAGTTAAGACCAAAGTCCAATGTGTTTGGGTAAAAGTTTCTTTCAGAAAATTCCTTTGTTTATTTGTCCTCGTGGATAGAATATTAGATATAGGTAAGGATATAGGTCAGAAAACTCTTGGGTTATGTTCTGAATTCTGAGTTGGGGAAGTTGGAATGGGGAGCGGTTAATCAAACGACCAAACATGCAAACACGGCATACAGGAAGGCCTGGCCTTATTGGTGAACTTCACCAACAAGCACCAAATGCTTGTTGTACCTAACCACATGCTACCCTCTTCCCTGCATTCCTTGTTTACCTGGAGATACAGAATTGTTTGCTTTAACCATTAGGGATACAAAGTAAGAAATAATAGTACTTGGAAATAACTGTTTTTAAAAGTAGTTACTCTCCCAAGTGCATATTGTAATGAAACTAATAGTATATTTAAGTGTGAACAAAAAAACTACACGCCAGACTAGCTGGCTGGTTGGTTGGGGTTTTTTGCTAATTGCATTTGTTTTTTAAGTGACTATCAAAGGACAAGTCATAATTAAAATGCCAAAATTCTAATTAAAGAACAGCAATTATGGAAATCCTTTTAAAATTCTGTTTAAATAGTTAGATATTAAGCAGTTAATTTAAGAAAACATAATGTTGGCATTAATCAATGAACTAGAATTTAGACAATCTTCATTTTTTAGTTACTCTAGTACATTTTCCTCCTAAATTTCTAATAGTGTAAATAATCAAACCAGATCTTATTCTCACACCCAGAAAACTAAACTGAACCAACATGAAATGTCTTTAAACATTTCTCGAGATGTTTATTCATGATGGCCATCAAGTGAGCCCCTTATCCTCCAAAAAACAGCTCTTGGAGTGCTAAGCCGTGAAGGAATTACAGAATTGGGGAATGTGAGGGAAGTGTAGGACTTCATAGTTCTAGGTAGGGAAATGTGCTGGGAACTCTAGGCAACATAAGGCAAGGCATTTGACTTTCCCAGGAGGGTATTTTCTCAGGATATGTTTGTTTCTGATGCCACTGCCAACCCCAGAAGGACACAAAGAATTTTTAGAGTTGTAGCACAGTTTTCCAAGTTCCCAGGAATGCAGATAGAGCCAGATAATCCTGCTAAGGGGGTGAGGGAAGAATTTAATTCCACTTTTATTAATTTTTAGTATAGAGATTTAAATTGTATTTTTGCAAAATGGGATCTGGACACAGCAGCACTATTCTGAGAATTAGGAACATTATTAATAACCAAACAAAGTTTTTTTTTTATTACGAAAGTTTATTTTTATCATTTTGTACATTTTTTTTTCCATCTCAATTGTAATCCCCGCGGGTTTCCCATCACCAAGTCACCCATGTACCATCACCATAATCTTGTGCATTTCCCTCCCCTCCCCCCCATTTTTGATCCCATTCCCCACTCCACCCCCACAAAATGTCTCTGGTATATGGTTGTTCATTATTTTTGTTATTTTCTCGCCTGGTCCATTATACTCCTGCTATGAGTGAAACCATCCGGTATTTTTCTTTCTCTTTCTGGCTTATCTCACTCAGCATGATCTTTTCCAGCTCCATCCAAGTTGCTGCAAAAGACATGTGTTTCTCTTTTTGGGTTGCTGAGTAATATTCCATTGTATATATGTACCACATCTTTTTTATCCAGTCATCTACTTTTGGGCATTTGGGCTGCTTCCATGTTTTTCCAATTGTAAATAAAGCAACAATAAACATGGGGGTTCAGGTATCTTTTTCAATCAGTGTTTTTGTGTCTTTTGGGTAGATACGTAGGAGTGGGATTGCTGGGTCGTAGGGAAGCTCCATGTTTAGCAGTTTGAGGAACCTCCAAACAGTTTTCCATAGTGATTATACTAGTTTAACCAAACAAAGTTTTATGTGAAGAAAGCACTTTTAACAACCCATGGTACTTTTAAATAAAATGTTGCCTCTGGTTCTAATTCTAAATTTGTTTATTATTTTAGAAGTATATATGCTGAGGTCTTTATCTTAGAGTATTGGTTCTGTTTGGCAAGACCCTGTTTGGTGCTGCTTGGAGTTCAGTTGACAATGTAGAAGCCATTTCTGGTTTTGTTGATTACCAAAAGTTGGTATAATTGATAGCAAAGATAGCAAACCTATTCTTTTGTGAAATAATTATTAAATCAACTCTATGCGGTACACTTTTTACTGATAAAACCCATACATAGTCTGTGATCTGTAGCAGTGTTTTCAAAATTTTAAAATACTTCCAGTTTTCAAATACTTCTTTGAAAACTAAATCACTGAATTAGTGATTCAGTGAAGTTATTGAAAAAGTGAGTAGTATGTCTACCCAGTTAAAAACAGAACTTTACAAAAAGGAAAAGAAATGGGACCCTTTCTGTTTAACTCACAAACATTAACTCTTGTGACAAGATTCAAAATAATTTATATGGAAGACTAATTTCAACAAGTCCTTAACCTTTTTGATCTAGTTGGAAAAACATAAGTACCTCAGCGAGTAAGAAGTAAGTTAATAAAACTTGCAATAAATGAACCAATATATTAATTGCACAGAATTTCAGTGTTTAGTGTTCTCAGAGCTTTAATTTTCCAAAAATAGAAATTTGTAAAAGGTTTATCAGTCCTAGATAGCATTAATTTACATAAAATATGTAAGCCATTAACTTTAGTGTGCTTTTGTTTGTTTGTTTGTACATTATGGAAATGGACCATAAATTTCAGAAGCACTTTTGGCCATATGTGTGTAAAAGTCTATAATTTTGCACAAATTAAATTAGATTCCTTGAAGGTAAAAAGTGATTGCTTGTTATGTATCGTGTACACATTACTGCAGAATAAGCTATAATGTTCTATTGAGGAATTTTATATCATAAACATTCCATAAAAGTAAACAGTAAAAGAGTAGACACTAGCACCATGTAAGTGAGTAGTCAGTATTAATCTCTTAAACATGTATGTTAGTAACTAATCACATGAAATCTATTACTTGCTAGATATTTAGAATTGGGTCAATACTTAATATACACACTAAAAATTTTTACTTTCTTGATAAAACTTAAAATTAAATTTTTAAAGCTCATTCCGGCCGGAACTATTTCTAGCATTTATTATTATATGCTTCTGTGCAAGGAGTGTTGCATTAACTACTTAACTGTATGCCCCTCTTATTTTTCAGCTTCCAAATTGAGATAAAAAGCAACAATTTGTGCAAGTTGATATTTGTAGAATTATGTTTACTAAAATGGAAACATGAATGTCACTTAGATATTTGTTGGAAAGAAGTTTTATAGTTAGAAAATAAAACTATGTCCTTGTGTTTCTTGTAAGTACACTGAAACTAGCTAATGTTTGTAACAGTTCACTTACATGGAATATAAAATGCAGTTAGATTATATAACTTGAAAATCTCATACTGTTTTATTCATGACTGAAGTCTTAGAGTCTGGCAGGTTATGTCTCTTATTGTTTAGTAAGGAAAATTTGGGGAGTTTAGAATGTAAAATTTGTCAAGTTTTGTCAAAATACAAGTTTTACACTTTTTTTTTCTCTGAAATACAGTACTCTAAATTTCAATACCCTTTATACTTTTACCGGTGTAGTTATACACTTCATACAATTATAAGATCCCTTATCTCTTAAAGTTACGGTCCTCTATCCTTGATTCACAAATGAGTACATGAACATTGCTGAGTGTTCAGGTTTGTGAAGTCAGTGGCAGTTGGTGTGAGCTTGAGATTCAGCGCTATTCACATTACCTTCTGCAATTCAAATTGCCAAATTTTGACAAAACTGCTGCAGTTAGGACTAATTATGGAGGAGTCAACTTAGGGAGTTCTTCCACCACTACTTTAAAAACAAAACAATCCTGTACACATGGTCTACCACAGTTGACACTGTCTACCAAAAATCTTTCCTGTCCAGACTGGATCTAAAGAAAGGTCTCGGATTGTTTTTTTCTATCTTCTTTAACCTCCAGACATTGTACACTGATAAATTCATTTCCTATTCAAGGCTGCCTTTGATCTTTACCTTAAAATTTTACTTCTATAAGGTGGCAAAGGGAAATGAAGTTGTACTTTTTAAGGAAAATGCCCCTTAAGATTATATGTTTGCTTTTAAAATTGCTGTTAATTTATGACAATTTATAAAACATTCTTCGTGTTATATAACTTTTTAGAATGAATTTTCTCATTGAGAAAACCTTAAAAATTGATTGAGCAGTCTACTTGAAGATGTCTTTGTACTTTTTCCTTAAGGAAAAAATTTATTTTCCTAAATAAATGACATTATTTGGCATTTCTTATAAGTTAATCCTAAAAGTAAATACTCTGGGAGTTTGCTGAAAACTATTGTTCCTTCAATGATGAATCATTTTTATGACATTCATTATTGGAGGACTACTGTGTATTTTTTTTTTTTTCAAGAAAGAGCTATAGATTTGTTTCATTATCTCATCGTTGTCCTATGAAGCACATTGCTTCCACATTATCATGCTTTTCCATATTTATTGGTGATGACTGTGTGGCAAGTGCCCACAGCTGCACCAGTGCCTATTGAAGGTACTCAGTAAGTGGTTATTTTCTTTCATGGAAACACTAAAGAAATACTATGTAATGTTTCATCCTATAGGTATTTTTAGCAAAATGCATTAATACCAAGAGTATAAAGGTAAGTATTCTTCAAACGACATGGCTCCTAATAGCCAACCACTTTGTTTGTCTGCACCCAGCAGAACAATTTAAGAGATTGTCATGAGACATTTCATTATAAAAATAGTCATACCTTAAAGGTTGACTCAGTACATAATCCCTAATAAATAACAAGCCAGCTGGCTTAATTTATTTATTTATATATATACAAATGACTACTTTGTGAAACCCCAAAAAGCCAAAATAAAAAAAAGTTTAATTTAGCCTAGAATTTTCAAATAAACATTTTAACCATGCCAGAGAATTTATGAAGTACAACACTCAACCTTTGGAAACAATTGCTCAGAGTTTACACAATCACCTGAAAAGTTAAAATACTTTTAAAGCACCCTACTTACTTGTGTGACTAACTTTGTCTTGAGAAACACTACTCTTAGCCATCCATATCA